AGGGGGGAGGAATTGTAATGTATTGAAATGATTACATGAATCACCTCATAGGACTCCCATGTTAAGCTTCGAGCCAGACCAGGGCTCCTCTGAGCGAACTTCCTATTGGTCGCTTCGTAACAGCGACCAATCAGAACGATACCATTCCCTAGGAGGGAAAGACTCCCATTGGTCTTTATTCTAGCAATCTCATTGGTTGTTATTTGTAAATAGGCGTGGCTACATTAGCCGCCCCCTCCAGGAACGCCCCCCAAAGTCCCCCGCTGGGGGTGAAGATAGGACTCAAGGTGACTATTGCATGGATTACTGTTGCGAGATCATTGCGTTCACGGAAGGAAACCCACTGCTTAATCAGCCATAGGTGGTAAAAGGCAGGCTTCGCAGTGGCTGCTACCTGGGCCTCCATCGTTAAGGAGGCATCCAGGAGCACTCCCAGACTCCTAACCTCCAACGCTGGCACCAGAGGCTCCCCATTGAAGGTCTGGAGAGGGATCCCTAACCTTGGCCCACTCCGACTCAGGCACGGGACCTCTGTCTTCGTCAGATTTAATTTGAGTTGACTCAATCTGAACCAACCAGCCATGGCTTTCAACACCAGGTCCAGATCTCCCAGACTAGAGTTTGACTGGACGTCCAACAACAGATAGAGCTGGGTGACCAATGTTCCCTCTAAGCTGTGGAGCCTCATGAGCAAAAAATCTACTTTGTGAGCTACTGGCATTAAAGTGGTGAGCAAGCCATTTGGCTCCTGCATTAATTAGTTTGCTCTGGAGCCCTCCTTCCTGAGCGGAGACAAAAATGTGTGAGCTGGAGGATAAAAAACTGTGAGCTAGCTCACTCTAACTCAGCTTAGAGGGAACACTGGTGACCACCCAGACCATACCTCCAGGCAATCTGGGCAAGGGGGTGCATATAAGTAAATATAATATAGATGTTGAATAACACTGGGGAGAGCACCGCTCCTTAAGGCACTCCACAAATAAGCGAGTGCCTTCCAGATAGCTGTTCCCCAACAGCCACCCTTTGTCCCCAACCCTGAAGGAATGAGGAGAGCCACTGCAAGGCAAACCCATGAATCCCGGTATCAGCGAGGGGGTGGATCAGTAGTTGATGGCCGACTGTGTCGAAGACCACCGACAGGTCTGACAACAACAACACTGCCACAACCGCCTCGATCCAGATGCCTCCAGAGATCATCTGTGATCATCTGTGACCAGGACCATCTCTGTCCCATGGCATGGTTCGAAGCCGGACTGGAAGGGATGTAATATGGAGGTGTCATCCAAAAAACCCTGCAGTTGGAATGCCACCGCCCTCTCAATCAGTTTGCCCAAATAGTGCAAATTGGATACCAGCTAATAGTTAGCTAATTTGGCCAGATCCAAGGATGGGTTTTTTAAAGAAAGGGCAGACCACTGCCTCCTCTAGTGCACTAGGGAACAATCCCTCAATGAGGGACTTGTTGACAATCTCTTTTAGTGCACCTTGCAACTCATCACGGCCAGCTTTAATTAGCCATGATGGGCATGGGTCAAGACTGCAGGTGGTCGGGCAAACAGCTGAGAGTAATTTGTCAAATGACCCCATGGTGTGTGCAGTTAAAGGATGTAAGGACATGTGAAAGTTCACAGAGGAAAGAACAGAGAAGTACCTCCTAAAGCTCATGCACCACAACCCCCACACTTTGGTGTGTTTTATGAAGGTCAAACTTCAAACACCTTCATAAGAACATAAGAACATAAGAGACGCCAATGTTGGATCAGGCCAAAGGCCCATCCAGTCCAACACTCTGTGTCACACAGTGGCCAGAAATACCAGTGCCATCAGGAGGTCCAGCAGTGGGACCAGGACATTAGAAGCCCTCCCACTGTTGACCCCCCCCCCAAGCACCAAGAAGACAGAGCATCACTTGCCCCAGAGCCCCTAGCTATACCTTGTGGCTAATAGCCACTGATGGACCTCTGCTCCATATGCTTATCTAATTCCCTTTTGAAGCCGTCCATGCTTGTAGCACCCACCACTTCCTGTGGCAGTGAATTCCATGTGTTAATCACTCTTTGGGTGAAGAAGTACTTCCTTTTATCTGTTCTAACCCGACCGCTCTGCAGTTTCATGGAGTGCCCACGAGTTCTTGTATTGTGAGAAAGGGAGAAAAGTACCTCTTTCTTTACCTGCTCTTTCCCATGCATAATCTTATAAACCTCGATCATGTCACCCCTCAGTCGTCTTTTCTCCAAGCTAAAGAGCCCTAAGCGCGTTAACCTTTCCTCATAGGGAAAGTGTTCCAACCCTTTTATCATTCGAGTTGCCCTTTTCTGCACTTTTTCCAAAGCTATAATATCCTTTTTAAGGTGTGGTGCCCAGAACTGCACACAGTATTCCAAATGAGGTCTCACCATTGATTTATATAGGGGCATTATTATATTGGCTGATCTGTTTTCAATACCCTTCCTAATAATCCCCAGCATAGCATTGGCCTTCTTTATTGCAGTCACACACTGTCTCGACATTTTCAGTGAGTTATCCACTACAACTCCAAGATCTCTCTCTTGCTCAGTCTCTGCCAGTTCAGACCCCATCAATGTGTATTTATATTTAGGATTTTTGGCTCCAATGTGCATCACCTTGCACTTGGCCACATTGAACCCCATTTGCCATGTTGACGCCCACTCGCCCATCCTTGACAGATCCCCTTGGAGTGCCTCACAATCCTCACTGGTTTTCACCACCCTGAACAACTTTGTATCATCCGCAAATTTAGCCACTTCACTGCTTACTCCCATCTCCAAATCATTAATGAACAAGTTAAAAAGCAGTGGACCAAGTACTGATCCCTGCGGTACCCCACTGCTTACCACCCTCCACTGAGAAAATTGCCCATTTATACTCACTCTCTGTTTTCTATGAATTAGCCAGTTTTTGATCCATAAAAGGACTTGTCCTTCTATCCCATGATTTTTGAGCTTACTTAGGAGCCTTTGATGAGGAACTTTATCAAAAGCTTTCTGGAAGTCAAGGTAAATAATATCTATTGGATCCCCCTTGTCCACATGTTTGTTCACCCCCTCAAAGAACACTAACAGGTTAGTGAGACAAGATCTTCCCTTACAGAAACCGTGCTGAGTCTGCCTCAATAGGTTTTGTTCATCTATGTGCCTACTAATTCTTTCCTTAATAATGGTTTCCACCAATTTACCCGGTATCGACGTCAGACTGATTGGCCTGTAATTTCCCGGATCTCCTCTGGAACCCTTTTTAAAGATGGGAGTGACATTTGCTACCTTCCAATCCTCAGGAATGGAGGCAGATTTTAAGGAAAGATTACATATCTTTGTCAGGAGATCTACAAGTTCACATTTGAGTTCTTTCAGAACTCTCGGATGTATGCCATCTGGGCCTGGTGATTTTTCAGTTTTTAAGTTGTCTATCAGTTTTAGGACCTCCTCTCTCGTCACCTCAATCTGACTCAGGTCTTTCAACACCCCTCCTGAAATCAGTGGTTCTGGAGTGGGCAAGCACTTCTCATCTTCCACAGTGAAGACGGAGGCAAAAAATGCATTTACCTTCAAAGCCTTATATGGCCTGGGAGCAACCTACCTAAGGGACCACCTCTTCCCACATACACATACACTCTGCCACGGTCTCGTTTGACGACTGGCTTCTCTTATAGAACGCGTGTCGGGACGTGATCTCCGACGGCTGCGGAGAGTAATGTGCCTTCAGCTTATCAGTCAGCTCTTTGAAGGCCGCGGTCGTTATGTCCGCTGGCGCCACCAGGGACCGAGCAATATCAAAGACGTTCTTGCCACACGAACTCAGGAGTGTGGACCGCTTCTTCTCGTCTGTGGTGATATCGTTCGCCTCGAGGTGGAACCCGAACCTCAGCAGGTAGGCGTCCCAGTCCTTGGTTGTTGGTTTGAATGCCTCGAACTTCGGGCTATTGGCCATAGCTGCAATCGCTGCCACCGGCTCTGATGGTGCCTGTTGCTGCTCTGCCACTGCGAGTTGCGGCTCGCTGTTGTCCGTCGTGGGGTTGGGACCAGCGGGGCTGCCTACCTGTGGCTGGATGACCACACTTCTGGTAACATGGGGGTGTGGCCTAATGTGCTAATGAGCCATGCTTTCAGGGTGTGGCCTAATATGCTAATGGATTTTGCTGTTGTGTGTGGCCTATTATGCTAATGAGTATTGTTAAGTCCGGCGCTTAACAATGAGTCGAAGAGTGATTTCAGCAAAACTCAGGTTTATTCAGCTCGATAATCAACTTCTCCAACACGGTACAACTCCTCATAGCCCGAACAGCTTTTCCATTGCAGCTGTTCGGTATTTAAACATTCCGGGCTAATGTAGCCACACCTACTATACAAGTACCAACCTATCAGGTTGTTCGCATAATAGCCCAATCACAAACGTTCCCACCACAGACAGTTCAAATGTGATTGGACACCATACTTTTCGGCACGAATCCTAGCCGACGTCTGAAGCTTAGCATAGCTTTTCTATGGGATGATTCACACTTCATCCCCATGCATTCAGGGCAGCATCTGAATACATTACAGTTACACTCTGAGAGTCAACACCTCCTGGTGATCCCTGGCCCAAAGGACGTCCGCCTAGCCTCGACCAGGGCCGGGGCTTTTTCTGCCCTGGCACCCACCTGGTGGAACAGGCTCCCAACTGAGATCAGGGCCCTGCGGGATCTCCTTCCATTCCGCAGGGCCTGCAAAATGGAGCCATTCCACCAGGCCTTTGGCTGAGGCAGCGGGCGTCCACACATGCCCCCCCCCCGAGGTTGCGGTCTCCTACCCACTGATAACCGGCCATACTGAGTCACATCAATGGGCCGGATTCTCCCTATGGCAAGCATGGCTAATGTTTTTATATGCTTTTAATGTGTTTTAAATTTTATTGTATTTCTTGAAATGCTGTGACCTGCCCGGAGCCCATTTGCGGGATGGGCGGGATATAAATGCGAGAAATAAATAAATAAATAAACTTACTGTGGTCCAGCTGACCTGCTGGCCCATGTCTGTGAAGTACAGCGTAATGATAGAAGAAGCTGCCAGGCTCTTTATGTTGACTGAATCTCTCAAGAAGGACCCATCTAGAAGAGCCAAGAAGGAAGAGCTAGTGACACACAACGTCCGTTCCATGTTCATGGCCCAGTTTCAAGTGTCGCATGGGCTCGGATGTCAAGCTAGCCGGTGGTGACCCTCCCTTCTCACACAGAGCACAATTAAGAATCCCAGTTTTAAAATGAACTCTGGACTCCCCTGTCACCTACACAAGCAGGCCCTCGGAGGCACTGGAGCCTGTTTACTCCACACAAACTGGAATTCTAAGCCACAATATAACCCTGGGTCAGAATCCCAGTTTATAGGGGACTAAAACTCCAAGCCCTCTCTGTTATCAGGAACCAGAAGGAGTTTCCAACCAGGAATCCTTAGTCATGTTCCTTGTGAGAAAAGCATTTGGGCGTTAAGAAACGATTCATGCTTATCAGCTTAAACTGAAGCCTAGTGTGACATCTGAAGGCATATTGATCAGGGGAACGTGTAGACCTGCTCCTGTGGATGAAGCCCAGTTTTCACACTACACTTTAACCCGAATTTATGCAAAGGGTCATATTCACTCAGGTCCATTTACTGACAGCCTCAGGCTTTGTCCTCTGGATCACCGCTTATCAACAAAAATGTTGGGGGCGAGCTGAGAAGCACTCAGGTGGAAGTCTGATCCTTGACCATCACCTCTTCTTCACATCTTCTGAGGGGGGGGGGAACCCCTAGTTTTTGACTGAGAAATATCCACATCAGAAAAAAATTATCCTCATGCTTTCTTTGTCATGAGCACAAATATACTACAATGTGGTCAATGCTGTAAAATACATACAATGGCGTCAATACAAACCGACTCTCATGAATACATATTGGTCGAATCTGCATTTGTCTTTGCCACCGGTGTCCCAGCCTTCTGACTCCGTCTTCAAAAAAGCTGTCTGCATTTGGTTTCGTTTTCACTCCTCAACAGTGCTAGCATACTTGTGCATGCTTGCATATGTTTATTGCCCTCTCGTGGCAGCTCCACTGTCATTGGGTCTCCGCACTGTTTTAAATTAATCTTCTCCAAACAACTTTCAAACAAGCATAGAGAAAGACGGTGTCACAGCAGCACAAAACTGATTTAAAAATGCAAATGCAGATTCGACCATTGAATCAAGTCATCAAGGTCAGTATTGTCTACTCAGACTGGCAGTGGCTCTCCGGGGTCTCAGGCAGAAGACCTTCACATCACCTGCTGCCAGATTCTTTGAACTGGAGGTGCTGAAGACTGAATGTGGGACCTTCTGCATGCCAAGCAGATCCTCTGCTTCTGAGCTATAGCCCTCCCCTCATGTAGGGTTGGATCCAATGGGTCTGTTGCACTAGCAGAGGCACTTTCTTCCAGTGGAGGAAGACTCTTATGTCAGGGGAAGATTTTGATAGCACAACTGATTCCCCGAAACTAACCCACAATGCTGAAATTCACTTTTTCTATGGGGGGAAATACTCTTTTTGAAGTCTTTGCAGCACAAGGAATACTTACTGCGTTCCAGTCGCAGGCCTATGCGAGATGGATACCACTGAGGACCTGCACAGGGAATTGAGACACATAGATGTTGCACTCCAAAGAATTTTTACAAAGACAAGAGCACACATTCCAGTCACTCTGCCAGCAAACGCTATGTCAGTCTCAAGCCTGCTTTGTAGGGCTGCCGATTTAGGGTAGGAAAATCCCTGTAGATTTAGGATTGGAGGCTGCCAGAGAGGACAAGGCTTAGGGAGGGGAGGGTGCTCCAAAGGGCACAAGGCCATGGGGATCCCACCCCCCAAAGCGGGATCTCTGTAGTCTGGAGATCAGTAACTCCAGATCTCCAGGCCTCGCCTGCAGGTTGGGATCCCTACTGCTGCGTTCTGCTGTTCCTGCATGGAGGAAGGCCGAGCTACATGCAAGAAAATGTGTTTCTGTTCTTACTGCAAGACTATGGGGGGTGGGGTCTTCCTGGTCTGACTACAAATTAGGGAGGGACTCAGTTCTGATGAGCCTCCAAGCGAGGATTTGGGGGCCTGGAGATGACTGGAAGGCTACTGGATTCTGTCTTCCCCTCTCTTCCACAGGCTTCCTCCTACGAGGGTTTAAGAGTGACATCCCAATAAGCAAACTCCAGCTAGTGTTTACCCCGCCTGTTCCCATCAACACACAGCTGATTCATGGCAGGGCCATAGCTAGCATGGGACACATGGGGCGATGCCCCCTCCTCAATTCCCAGTGCCCCCAAATCCAAAGGTCCTTGTGCTTCTGATCCAAATAACTACTGGCGGCCGTGAGGTGGGCTTTGCATTCTCGTGCCGTGATGGCAGTGCATAGATGTGCAGTGGCGGCAGCAGCAGCAATGGCTACTGTGGATTGGCAGCTGCCAAATCTTGATGACTTTGTGGGGCAGAGCTGGAGTGGTTGGGTGGAGAGAGCTGGGCCGCCAGCTGCCAAGACAGGTGAGCGCACCTGCCCTCTGCGTTGATTCGCAGGTGGGGGGGCAGGAAGAAGCAGGGGACTCGCCATCGCTGCTTGTGCTTCTGCCACCACCGCCAACCTTCTTCCCTCGCTCTCCCCACCCTCACCCTGCTGCCCCAAACAAAGGAACCTCCAAGTCCTAGCTCCACTGCATTCTGTTCCCTCAGGGAGGCCTTTCGTTTCCCGCCCTCCCCTTAAAACAGTAGAGGTGCCCCACAGTACAAGGAGCGCTGCCCCACATCAGTTCCTCGACACGTAGCAGTGTGGGGCACACTGTCCTCAGGTGGTGGAGCAGGAGGGGGACAGGGAGGAGGAAAGGGCAGGAGAGTCGCTGAAAGGCAGGAGGGGGAAGCGACAGCATCTCAGAGAAGAAGCTAAACCCGCTGAGGCTTCTTTTGCATCCTCCCCACAGCCCCGGAAAGGTCGAGACAGTCCTCCAGCCAGTTCCCCTCTTCATCCAGTGCCCCCCACCACCAAAATTGTCTAGCTATGGGGCTGATTCATGGGGACCCCATAGGGTTTTCATAGTGACCCTGCTTAGCTTCCAAGATTTGACAGGGCTGGGCTAGCCTGGGCCATCCAGGTCAGGATATTTCTAGAATTCACATACTAAAGCAAGTTTTCAAAAATTAACTTTTTGCCACAAAGGGGACTAATTTTTACGGAATTTATGCTTTTGTTGTACAAGGAAGCTGCTGTGCTCCTGAAGGGGGAAAAAAAGGTTTTAAACTTTAAAATGAAAAGGTACAACAAATATTTCAGCACTAAGTGCTTAGGTTTGCAAGGGTTTTTCTTTGTTGCACGAACGGCTATTGCAATTCTGCACTTTGGTAGCATGCTGTAGCTCAGGGTATGCCTGTATGGAAAGGCAATAAAATACATATATGGGGAAGAATCCAAGACATGATAAAAACAGAAAAGCACAAGAGGGGGACCCGCGATACTCGCGGGGGGGGGGGGAAGAGCCCCGTCTCCTCCACCCCCCCCCCCCCCCATCTCCCCCAGGCAAGGGCCCC